TATAAATCAGATTAGAAAATATTGCTGAATATAGAGTCTTCCGTTTGCACCTGCAGATACTCAGTGTGTGCGCGCCCTGCGTGCGTGTGTGGGCCGTGTGTGTGTGGGCGTGACGATGCGCCTGTTTGTTTTTTGCAAAGTGTGTGCTGTGCCGTGTAAATGTGTGTGTGTGTGTGATGTGTGTGTGAATGTGTGCCCTCGCCTGTGTGTGTGTCCCGTGTGTGTTTGTGGTGTGTAGTGGGTGTAGTGTGGCTTGTGTATGATGTGCGAATGCGTGTATTAGCGTGTGTGTGTGGTGTGTGTGTGTGTTTGTGTGTGTTGTTTGATTGTGTGCGTGTGTTACGTTGTTGGTTTGTTATTGAATATTTCTGATGTGTGGTGTGCGTGTATGTATATACATTTGTTGCTGCTTGTACGCTTTTGTTTAGTGTTGTGCCGTGTGTGTGTGTGCATAAGGGTTATGTTTGTTTGATTTGTGTGTTGTATAGCTGACAATAGTGTATATACTATGCGTGGTGTATTTTATGTTTTACGGTCTTATGTTCTTCCTGGCCATGTGAATATGGCCTTCGGAAGAATCAACAATCAGGATTTCATTTTGCAGATTGAAGGTATAATGTTGAGGCAGAGTGGATTACCCTCACTCTTTTATTCCAGCGAGGATAAGATTGTAGAAAAGGTACCAGGGGAATCAAAGGAAGAATAAAGATATACCGGTGGGTGAAGAGAGAGAGAGAGAAGAGAATTAAAGAGAAAGAGAAAGAGGGACAAACGAATCAGGGGAATGAGAGAGAGAGGAGAGAGAGAGAGAGAGAGAGAGAGAGAGAGAGAGAGAGAGAGAGGAGAGAAGAGATGAGAGAGAGAAGAGAGATGAGAGAGAGAAAAACAGAGAGATGAGAAGAGAGAGAGAGAGAGAGAGAGAGAGAGAGAGAAGAGAGAGAAAAGAGAGAGAGACGGAGAGAGAGAGAGAGACAGAGAGAGAGAGTAGCAGAGAAGATGAGAACACATGAGAGAGAGACTTATCATTGACAGAGAGAGAGAGAAGAGAGGAGAGAGGAGAATAAAGAGAAGATGAGGAAAGAGGGACAAATAAAAAATATGGGAAGAGATGAGAAGATAGATGAAAGAGAAAGAAAGACCAAAGAATTATGGGGCTCAAGGAGGTGTGAACGAGAGAGAGAGAGAATGTAAGAGAAAGCAGAAAAGAAAGAAGAAAATAAGAGAAAGGGATAGACCGCGCGCACAAAGAATAGAGGATGGAGAACAGAGAAAAGGACCAGAACTAAAAGAGACGTACCAAAGGGGATGGCAGAGAGAGTAGCATAGAATGTAACATTTGGAATGAAAAATGTTAACCTCGAGTTTCGAAATAGAAAAGATAATTGTATTTCCACATGATGAAGAAGAAAACTGAACATCGTAGGGTAAATAAACACAAAAAAAAACATAGGACGATAAAAACGATAAATATGGGGGGGGAAATAATAGTTTATAATAAGATAAGAAATAAATCGATATTTATTACCTTAAATTTTATTTCATTTAATCTTCTCGAAATGTCATTTTTGAGTTAATCATTTCATTTGTCTTTTTCCATTTTTTTTTCTTTTTTTTTTTTTTTTGCTGAGTTGTATTCCTGTCCAGATCATTGCGTTTAAATGCTTAAAGATAACTGAATTGATATAAATCGTTATAATTCTCTTCTGACTTCAAAGCTTTCATTTGAAATTCTATATTATGTTGATATTCTACTTGGTCGAAATAGCACAAAACTTGTCGGAATTAGGTAAACAATATCAAGCAGATAAGAATAAGAAGTCTATTTTGGGCAATATCTGTTTCCCCTTCTCGTCTTCTCTCTTTTCTGTTCACTTTTAAATCTCTTTCCATCCGATTTCTCTCTCTCTGTCTTTCCTCCTTCTCCTTCTTCTCTCATTGCTTGCTCTCTCTCTCAACTCTCTGTCTCTCCTGTTCTCCCTTATCCTCATACCTCATTCCAATTGCTCCTCTTCCCTCACTTCTCTTTCTCTCTCGAGCGTTCTCGGACCTCTCAATCTACTCACCTCATCCACCTTTACATCCTCTCCCTCCATTCTCTCTCCCCCCCTTCACTATCTTGTCTCCTCCCTTCCCTCACGCCCGCTCTCTATCTCTCTCTCATCTCCCTCCTCTCACCTCCTTATCCCCCTCAATCCAAAGTTCTCCAAACTACGAATGTCTTCGCATTCATTCCAGGTACAGTCTATATTTTTTTGATTAAAATGTGTTTCTATAATCAGTCGTTTTCATGTCATTTCGTTATCTTTTGTCTCCGATGCTTATAATTTTTTATTTTTTTAGATTTTCTATTAATATATAGTAGTTGATATCTTTAAAGGTTTCTTATCTATTTTCCTCTTTGTTTTGTTGTGATTACGTAAAAGTGATAGGCCAATACATGGTTAGATGGGGCATTCGGATAACATAATGGAAAGGTAAAATGAGCCGATGTTTTGCGCACCCAATATTTACTGTTCCTTTCAATTACCGAACACTAAGCGGGATTAAAGCCTTTATTAACTGGGACGGGAAATAGGAAGCGAACATTTTTGTGTTCAAAAAATGATTTCACTGGAATTCCTGATGTGGTCCAACATATGTTTCATTCATACTATTACATCCGTAGATATCACACAGGTCACGTGGAGAGCACACCCATTGGCATAGATATACACGATGCATGATGAGAGGAGAGAGAGAGAGGGAGGGAGGGAGGGAGGGAGGGAGGGAGGGAGAGTAGGGAGGGAGGGAGAGAGGGAG